CACTGAATCGAAGATGTAATTAAGATTTTTGCGAAATTAAGGTGTGTCTGAACATAGTATTACTTATATTTTTTTGATAACACTTTTTTGATGAATATATTTTAGGAATTTCATTTCAAAATTTCTTTATATAGAAATTAATAATACTTATTTGATATAAGTTCCACATTGCACATATACTTGAGTTCCACACAAAGTGGCAACAACTGCAGATGGCTGTGCAAATGATCAGCTGTTGTGCAAAACAAATCAAAATTACGCGCCTTTGTGGAAGGCGAGTACATTTCATCATTTTCGATTTAAAGATTTTATTTTAAAAATTTTGTGTACTTTGGTATAAAATAAAAATTTATAAAAACAATGTCACTGAATTGTCCAACTAGTCCAGTTTATCGCACAAGTGCAGAGCAGAAGTTGCAGTCGAAGAATGCAGCTAAACGGTATCGTTATGGAAACAAATTATTGAGAGACACATTGCGTGAAGTACTATAAATATAATATTTAGAAATAATTAATATTTCAGTTTATATTTATACTCAAAGAAATGTCGCATACGTATACGCGATGCACGTCAACTTGGTTTCGAACAATCCCGTCTTCTAATGCAACAAGTTTTACGTGATGAATTGGCGGAAATTGAAAGTGATCTAAAATTGCAGGAGGAAATCTATAAAGAACTCGAAGATGAGCTAAATGATTGGTATTTAGAACAATTTGAAGAAGAAGAGAAATATATTATAAATGTAGGTGAGGACAGTGCTGCATTTTGTCCAATATGTCAACGAGCAACTTTAGAACCAAGCGGTGTCAGTAAGATTATCAGCTGCAAGTGTGGTTCGAAGTAAGATTGTTGATTACTTTTATTTATATATTAATAAAATAATATATATGTTTGTTTTAGTTTCTTTTATGATGGTGTTTTGAACGAATTGGTTACTAAATTGCAGTCAAAAGTTGAGAAACATGAACAGAATTGTGCTCAGCGCTTAATATTTTTTATTGAACCAAATATTTATAATCAAAATATTTTGAATGCAATGTGTGATAGTTGCGATTATTTCTGTAATTTTTAATTTATTTTATTTTATAAATATTGTCTTTATTTTTTGTTATATATGATTGAAGGCAAGAACTTTATTTTATAGAATTTATTTTGTAATATGACGAATATTTTATTATAATTATTAAATATGTTTAATATACTGAAGCAGAGATGGCCATAACATTATTTGGTTAAGAACCATAAAATAATTAAAAACATTTGTATTACTTATTAAATCGTTGTTGTGTTTATTTTAAATTTTTTTATAAAATAAAGTAATAATAAAGTAATTATTGTTGTATAGTGAAATCAAAAAGTAAAATATAGTTGCACATGCAGTACATTGTGTAGGTTATACAGTCTGCCATCCCTAAACAAATTTATTTAAATCTTGCAACTTAAATAGCAATTTGGAATCTATTGATTTATGGCTTCGTCATATAAAAAGATCAAGGTTTGTTCACCTTCACACAAGCTAGCTTAAATTAGCAAACACCTTACTCACATCTCTTCATCCCACACGTTGTTAAACCCACAGATTACCTTTCATTTTCCATCCAATCTGCATTCCATTCTTTCTTCTTAACAAACTCCTTCCATCCCACGCCATTACTATCTATTCACATTCTAACCAATGTTAAGTCTTTGTAATTCCTTTCGCGTTATGTTTTATAGACCCCGGCGAGCTGTAACAACATTACTTTTTAATGAAGTATGGAATAAATAATAATATTAATAATTAAATGGATCTGGGCAAAATTAACTGGTCTGATATCTCTACATCTTTTCTACTTAATAAGTTTACTTATAGGAGTTAATAATATAAAAGTAAGCTTTGAACTAATACTACAATACAGCGCTTTAGTCACTTTCATAGAATAAACATACAAAATAATATTTGAAGATGAAGTAACTCCATCCTATAAGTATATTTGAATATTTTATTCTTTGACATAGTATTATAAATACTTAAACTGTAAGTAAAAAAAAAGCAATTACATAAAATCAAAATTACTTTCATCAAATGGTCGATTCGTGTTCATGGGCCCGCCTGCTCCACCCATTTGATTTGGTGGACCTCCCATAGGGCCACCAGGACCTGGACCACCAGCACCCATTTGTGGACGAAACTGGTTACCCGGTGTTGTTTGTTGCAGTAAATGCCGTAAACCTGGATTATTACTTATCATCGGACGCACCATACGCTGCTGTTGTTGTTGCATAGCAGCGGCTGCATGTGGAGGCATTTGTTGCATCTGTTGCGCATTTGGACCCACCATTGGCATTTGCTGTTGCTGTAACATAGTCATTTGCTGTTGATGTTGCATCGGTCCACCTTGCATATTCATCTGTTGGGCATATTGATTATAATGCTGCTGTTGTTGTTGCTGCTGCTGCTGTTGTTGTTGATCCTGTTGCTGTTGTTGCATTTGTTGCACCTCCATAGGAATTGGTTTTTGCTGCTGTTGTTGGGCCTGTTGTGCCATCATAGCATTTGGTGGCATTGTATTAGGCATTTGTCCTATAAAATAGAAATATTTTAACTGCACTTTCACTGTAATATTTATATACATATTTTTTTTGATTTAGAATACTCACCACCCATTTGATTTTGCATTTGTTGCTGCTGCTGTTGCATGTTTCCAACTGCATTAGTATGCTGACCCATTTGTTTCTGTTGTATGACTTTACGTAGTCGCTCCACAAACATCGATTGATTGTTGGGTATAAAACCTAAAAAGGCATTCTTCTCTTGTGTGTACAGTAGCACTAAGACTCTAATATCGCCAGCGGGCATATTCGGACCAGGTGTGAAGTGTACACAACCAGCAAAACCAGTTGTCATCATTTTGGATAGTGAATCGAGTGCCTCACATGGCACTGGTCGAAATACCACCATTTTAGAATCTTTAAGGAACTGTCCACCTATATTGCCAACCAAATGTTTAGGCATTAATTGCATTAGCAACTTGGGCGGCCAGTTATCGGGTTTGATTTCAGGTTCGCCATCTTTAATGTTCGTGCTGATAGTGCACTGTAGTGTGCGTGTTATTTTTTGTTGGTCGGGTTTCGATTTTTCAACCCATTCAAGTGTGCCAGTCCAAATTTTCTCACGGTCACGCATACCAGTCTCATTGGTGGATGAGGAAACGACCGGCACAGAAACACCAACTTGATTTTGCTGCATTTGACCACCAGGTCCAGCCACTGGTCCACCTTGCACATTCATAGCTTGCTGTTGCTGTTGTTGTTGCTGCTGCTGTTGCGTTTGTTGGTTTTGTGCTTGATTTTGTTGCTGCTGTTGTTGATTCAATTGTTGTTGCAGCAGTTGTTGTTGTTGCTGTTGTTGTTGTGCCTGTTGCTGCTGATGCTGTTGATTGATAAGCTGTAAACGCATGTGTTGTTGCTGGAAGTGTGGATTTACTGTTGGATTTGGTGGCGCACTTAATTGTGAAATGAGCGCCGAATTTTGATTTGGACCAGGCATACCTTGATTTGGCACCATCGGTCCAGCACCAGGACCACCAGGCATAAACTGAGGACGCGCTTGTACTTGTGGTTGTTGATTGGAAGCAATAATCCAGCGATTTTGTGGATTGACATTTGGCTGAAAATTTGGATTTTGCATAGGATTTTGATTAGCATTTGGTCCTGTAAATTGTTGCTGTTGTTGTTGTTGCTGCTGCTGTTGTTGTTGCTGCTGTTGCAAAAGTTGTTGATTTAAAGCACTTTGTGTAAGTTGAGTTGGTGGCCCAGTATTCATATTACCCGGAGCAACATGTACTTGCTGTTGTTGATTATTTTGATTAGTATCCATAGGCATAGGTGCTTGCTGTTGCTGTAATTGTTGTTGTTGCTGAGCTTGTGCTTGATTTTGCGTTTGATTCATATTTGGCGCGACCATTTGATTTTGTTGTTGTTGTGTTACAGTATTTGGACTTGGTGGACGCTCTTTAAGATGATAGCCTTTAAGTAAAACTAAATGACGTATATTTTTTGCATAGTTCTTTGCTGGCAAAGGTTGATCACCATCAGCTTTCATATAAATCTTAAATAGTACCGGAATTTTACGTGGTGCTATTATTGATAAATTAATTTTACGCTCATGAAATAAACCGGCCAATTGCTCCACTGTTTTTCCGATATATTTATAACATTCCATAACCGGCATTGAGTATGGTGGACTATTACAAATAAGTACACAGTGACGTTGCACAGGTAAGGGATCTATCATGTTTTGTTTACGCAGCTCGTGCATGTCATCAAAACAGCAATGAGCTGTAGCAAAACCTTCGGCCATATTTGCACATGATTCCATACCACCACCAACTAACGGTAGCCGTTCTATAGTTTCCATTACCTAGTTAAAAAGATATACAAATCTTATTATTCAATTTCAAGTATTATTTCGTTTGTATTTTGTCACACCTTTTGTGGTGCTGCGAATGGTCCGTACGTATTACATGATGGCTCTAGAAGATTTGCTGCTGTACGATAAAGCACAATACCATATTGTGTGGAATGTCGCTCCGATATGAGATACTCGCGCTCATCTATAGCACCTTGAGTAAAGTGCTCCAACTAAAAATAAATTATTTATAACATATATCTTATATATATATATTTAGTATATTTTACTACACTTACAGTGGGTAGAATATAGTTGCTTTTAAGTTCATTTATATATGAGCCATTAATTGCTGTGCCTTCAATAACAAAAAGGACATCAGCTAATGCTGAATCAATTTCCATTGTGAACCGGCGTAATGTTGTGTATATCCGCAAACAAATAAATTACCGCTCTAACACACGATTCCCTAAATACTATTATGTTTAAATGTTCTTAAATTATAAAATCCAAGTGGCTAATATTAAAGAAGATTCTTAGAAATGCACGTAAACAAATCAAAACACTAGCAAACACCAACAATATTTCACCTGAAACCATGAATTAAATAAGGGTGTCAGTGCTGTCAATACTATTAAGAAAAGTAGTAGATAATACTACTTTTTATTATTAAGATAATTTTAAACATCGACTGTATCAGCTGATGTATTATGATAACAGATACCAAGATATATGCACTTTTACGCTATCTACTTAACATAAATATATACATAAACTAGGTATTCATATATTTAAATTATATATAAATTAAATATCTGTTTTTAAAAAAAAGCTTTTATAAATCTTAAAAATAAAATCAAATTAATTTTCTTAAATTAAAATTAAAATTTTTTTAAATCAATTAATTATAGTTATTTTGTATAGATTATTATATAAATTAAAAATAAAAAAAAAAGTAGTTTATAAGCTATTTATTTTAAAGATTCACAAAAGCATTTTTTAAAAACAAAAATATATAATATATGTCAACTCGTAACTGTTCTAAACATTTTTATACAGCGTTATTGAAAATAATAACATTTTCGATTGGTTAATCTGGACTGATTTTTTCAATCGAGGTGCTCTTTTTTGTTTGGTAAATCTGTGGTTAAATATAAAACACTTGAGATTAACTTATAATACTTTAGATATTTTGCTAGAGTAGCAAGATAACCCTGATATTAATGGCTGTGTTATATGATTTGACCGATTAACTGCTATTTGATTCGATATATGTATGTATTTGTTAAAAATGTATATGTCTACTTACACGATTACTCTAACAATGTTCAATTGGACAAGAAAATTTGATAGATCGAGAGTAAATCTAAATTAAATCAAAAATCAAGATCGTTGTTTAATCTCAGACTTTCCATACAGAAATTAATCTCCTTTTTGTCGAGATTAATTTTAAATCTCCTTCGAAATGGTGATTATTTCTTTGTGCAACTCTGCAAATGGTCTAACATCGTAGATTTTTTTACGAAGTGAGTAAATTTTTAATAAATTTGTTTAATAATAGTTTTGTACATAATTATAAATTAAATTTGTTAAATTATTGTTATAAAACTATTTATTAAATTTATATTATAACTTTTTAGTACAAAATTGTAATTAAATGCTTTATTTACAGAAATTCATCAAACACACGAAACAAACCATAACAACAGAAACGTCAAATTAATCTCCAATGT